AGTCTGGATGGACTTTGGCTGCTGCAAAGACTGGGACACAAGGGAACAACAAGGGGTTCAAGCTGCGGGAGAAGGGATTCCATCTCAACCTGAGGAAGAACTGCATCCAGGATAAGAGCGGTTTGGCAAGTAAACTATTGCCAAGTGTGGTGGGTGGGCCCCTCTCAGGTGGGATGCAGCTACGCATCCTCTGTGGTGGTGGTGGTGGTGGTGGTGAGGGGGCTGGGTGCACCCTGTGTCCCCCTCCCCCTCCAGGAGTCACTCCTCCTGCGCAGAGCCTCGCTTTTGGGGGGCTGAAGAGGCCTCGGCCTGGGCTGCCCCGTGGATGCTGGGTGCAGAAGGTGGAGGCAGGCAGGCAGGCACCAGAGCCATATTGGGGCAGACTTACATGTTCACTGCCACAGGCTTCTGGTTGCTCAGCTGGCTCTGTCCCGGAGGCCGTCCCTTCCGCTGCAGGGGGCAACAACAATAGTACTAATAATAACAATAACAACAAGAACGCTTTATTTATATTCCGCTCTCTCTCCCCAAGGAGGGGACTCAGAGCAGATTACAATATACACAGATAGGCCTTTAACACCCAGTGCCTTTAATACAGTGGCATAACAATGACACACAAATACACAGAGCAAAGGCAAAGGCTTCCCCTTTCAACTCCAGCTTCTGGAGGCGGTGCTCAACTCCGGCCATGGGGAGGGAGGGGCTCTTGTTCAATTTCCAAGCCAAGCAAGGAGCCTACATTGTCCATAGACACCCCCTGGTCACGCTGGCAACATGGCTGCATGGGCACCTTTACTACCTTCCCACCGAGGTGGCATGCTATTGATCTACTCACATTTGCATGTTTTCAAACTGCTAGGTTGGCAGGAGCTAGGGCTAACAGTGGGAGCTCACCCCGAACCATGGCTTTGAACTGCCAACCTTCAGGTCAGCAGTTCAGCGGCGCAAGGGTTTACCCACTGTGCCAACCGCGATGTCACTGTCAATGCCTCCTGGGCAGAACATGTTCCCCGCAACAGAAGCAAGCCTCTGACGGTGCCCCCCCCCCCACTTTCCCCAAACAAAAGCAGAGGAGGGAAGCAGCTTCAGCCAAGGGGGCGGTGGGT